GCCTGGCTCGTAATCCTGCGCCTTTGGGAGACCGAGGTGAGTGGACTGCCTGAGCCCGCGGGTTCGAGACCCCCCTGGGCAGCGAGACCTCATCTCTACAATAAATAAAAAAATCAGCCAGGCGTGCTAGCGCATGCCTGTAATTCCGGCTACTCGGAAGGCTGAGGCAGAAGGATTGCCGGAGCCCAGCAGGTCGAGGCTGCGGTGGCCAGGAGCGGCCACTGCACTCCAGTCTGGGTGACCGAGTGAGACTCCAACTCAAAAAAAAAAAGATTACTCTGAATGTTGTGTACAGAACAGATGAAAGAAAGACAAGAGGAGAGACCAGATAGGAGGTTCCTAAAGCAGTTTAGTCAATAAATATGGTTTGAACTTGCAGGTGAACAGTATGGAAGGAAATGAATGATTTAAGATATATAGCCAGGCTCGGTGGTTCAGCCTGTAATCCCACACATTTGGGAGGCCGAGGTGAGTGGATTGCCTGAGCCTGCAGGTTCGAGACTCGCCTGGGCAGTGATTTATCTCTACAATAAATCAAAAAATCAGCCGGGCATGGTAGCGCATGCCTATAATTCCGGCTACTGGGAAGGCTGAGGAGGAAGGATTGCCGGAGCCTAGCAGGTCGAGGCTGCGGTGGCCGAGAGCGGCCACTGCACTCCAGTCTGGGCGACAGAGTGAGACTCCAACTCAAAAAAAAAAAAAATGTATGTTAGGCCAGAAGTCAGCAAACTACAGTCCACAGGTCAAATCTGGCCAGCCTCACACCAAATCTCAATGTGACAATTCATTTACACATTTCCTGTGACAGTTCTGTGATACAGTGGCAGTTAATAGTTGCAACAAGGCTGGGCTCAGTGGCTCAGCCTGTAATCCTGCGCTTTGGGAGGCTGAGGTGAGTGAATTGCCTGAGCCCGCGGGTTCGAGACCCGCCTGGGCAACTTGGCGAGACCTCCTCTCTACAATAAATCAAAAAAATTAGCCAGGCATGGTAGCGTGTGCCTGTTGTTCCAGCTACTTGGAAGGCTGAGGTGAAAGGATCGCCGGAGCCCAGCAGGTTGAGGCTGCGGTGGCCAGGAGCATGTCACTGCACTCCAGTCTGGGCAACAGAGTGAGACTCCAATTCAAAAAAAAAATAGTTGCAACAGAAACTACATGGCCCACAAAGCTAAAAAATACTGACTAGCTGGCCCTTTTCAAAAAGTTTGCTGACTCTTGCTTTAAACAAAGAACCAACTAGACTTACTGAAGAATTAAATGCAGGAATGTAGAAAAGAAAGGAAGCAAGCCTGACTCTTAAGTTTCTTTCTCAAGCAACTGAGATGGGGGTATTGTTTACTAAAATGGGAAACACTGGAAGTACAGCCTAGGAGACACCCAAGTTCACATTTTAAAGAGGCAGCTGCATATAAGAGAATAGAATTCAGGGTAGACCTTGGAGCCAGAAATACAAATATGAGAAAAACTTGCATACAGACAGTGCTTAAAGCCATGAAACTGGATAGATCACCCAGCAAGAAACAATCAACAAAGAAGTAACCCAACACCAAACATTTAGAGGCTGGATAAAGGAAGAAGACCCCAAGTAAAAAAAAAACCATGAGAATGATGTCATAAAAGACAAGAGGAGAATGATTCAAAGGAGTCTGCTATGTCAAATGCTGCTGAGAAACAAGTAAAATGAAGTATGTCAACTGACAAGAAAGAGGCTGAGGCACAGAATACAATTTAAGTGTTTACTTGAGCCAAAATGAGGATGGCTGTCCCAGGAAACACTTCCCAGTTGCCCAGCTGGAGAGTGCTCTGTCAGCTTTTGTTACAAGCAGATCCTTAAAGGTAAAAGGAACAAGGGGTAGGCGGATACAAAAACATTGATTAGTAATTGGCTATACACTGTTGAACCACAGAGTATGCGTTGTGGTGTTCAGCATATGGCATTTTATGGACACTTGGCATTAGTTAGTCTAGAGCCCACATAACAGGTGGCTTCAAGAGATAATTATTTAGCTCAAGGGAGAGGAATGTGACTGCTGTTTCATTCCAATGCCTCTCTGGACCTGATCATTTAAAGGGGTTTGCATTCTTCAGATAAAAAGTTTTTCTTTTTTTGGTTCTCCCCCCCCCCACAGGCTTGATAACATGACCAACGATGTAGAAAAGAGGAACCTCAGAAGAGCCAAATGGGAGTAGGTGAGAGCTGACTGGGGCTTTTGTCACCAGCCATATGACACCATTACACACCTGAAACAACTGTCCCACAGAAAACAACTAAAAGTAAATAACTTGATATTTTAAAATTCCAATTTTAAATGCACCATAGAGTTGGCCAAAATGTAAGGAATTTACAAAGGACAAATATGACCCAAAAAGGGAGGAGGTAAGTGAGAGATGGAGCTAAAAGTTATCTGCTGAACTCTGGAGACCCCCTTCTGACAGCCCCAGAGGACAGGGGGAAGAGAAGGTAAAGTCAAGGAGAGGCTAAAAGGAGGAGAATGTAAGAGAAAGCCAGAGTCAAAAATAAACTAGACTAGACATAAACTTCAAAAACAAACCCTCAAGAGGAGAAAGGATCTGATTTCCAAAATTAACATATTATAATATTTAAATTTTCCACTTTTTTAATTAAAAAAAAGGCAAAGAAACAAAAAGTCAGGGCCTACTCACAGGGGAAATTAACAGAAACTGTCTACTATGCATCACTGGTGGGAGGTGGAGTCTTTTGGGACATGTTTAGGTGATGAGGGCTCCCCTCTCATGAATGGATTAATGTCACTATAAAAAGGGCTTCTGGGAGTAGGCTTGCTCTCCCCTTCCACCTCCTGATATGTGAGAATGTAAAGAAGACCCTCACCAGACACCAGATGCCAACCCCTTGATCTTGGACTTTGCGGCCTCTAGAACTATGAGAAAAGAACTTTCTGTTCTTTATAAGTTACCTAGTCTCAGGTATTCTGCTATTGCAGCACAAAACTGACTACGACACTACCCCTCAGAAAGCACAGACACTGGACTTACTAGAAAAACACTGTAACTCAACTGTCTTAAATATGCTCAAAGAGCTAAGGGAAACTACAGACAAAGACCTAAAAGAAAGAAGGAGAACAATGCCTCAACAAATGGAGAATATCAACACAGTTACAGAAATTATAAAAAGGAAACACAAAGAAATTCTTGAGCTGAGAAGTACAATGACTGAACCAAAAAATTCACTAGAATGTTTCAACAGCAGGTTTGAGAAGCAAAAGAATCAGCAAGCGTGAAGACAGATAAGAAAAAGAGAAATAGATCATCAGCTGGAAGATGTAAAATAAAGATCTGTATTTTGTGTTTGTTGAAACACAGGTGATTCTAGAGCATGTTTATATATTTATGGCAACAACCTAGTAGAGAGGAAGAGACTGATGATGCAGTAGAGAGAAAAGTGATAAATGAAGGAACCCAATCCTTGATTCTAGAGCATGGACAGACAGTAGTCTTTGACAGGAACCAGGTTTTCTGAGCCAGTATAGATCATGGAGATTTGTAGATGGGCTGGGAAAATCACAAGAGTTTCTCTATGATGGCTTCAGATGAGAGCTGGAAAAAAGGGTAGGAAGGAAAACAGTATCAGTCATCCTGGAGAGTGAGAAGGGGAACTTAAAATGGAATACTGTGAGTCTGGTGGGCAGTTCTGAGTACACACTTGAGCCTGTGTTGTGAATCTGTAGTGAAACAGTAACCAGCAGGCACAGGCAGGCAGATAGTAGGTTTTAACCTGGCTTGATGTTTGGTCAGTCAGGTTAGAAAAGCAAGTAAGAGGCAAGGCAATTAAAGATGCTTATTACAGAGTGAGCATTAAAAAAAAATCTTAACTAGGGTTAAGGAGGGAAGGGAAGTAAACAGTTTCTACTATCCAGTGAAAAAGGAATAGGCTCAAAAGAAGTCTAAAGTAGGGGCCCCAAGGTGAGGTCACAGTAGGACTCTCAGAAGCTTGAATTTTAGATATGACCAAGAAGGGAGAGATCAAGGTCAGTGAAGAAAACCGCTGCTGAAGGTATGAAGGTCAGAAAACTGACAGGCCAGGGTGTTGAATAAATCATCTACATGAATGTCATAGTCACAAAGAAGAATAATAGAAACAGGAGTTGAGAAAAAAAACAGTCAGGATTTAAAGTTGTTGCTGAATTATACCAGTGACCAGGTGGCCAAAAGATAACAGCTGTGAAGATGGCAGAAGTGTTACAGCTTGAAGACATGAGCTGCAAAGGAACTGGGATATTTAAAGAAGGAAGAAAGAGAAATGTTTAGAATGTGAGGGAAGAAAGAGATGAATCTAGGGTGACTTACAGTCTTCAGTCTGAGTGACTAGTGGAGTCATTTAAGTCAGGAGGAACATGTGATCTGTGCATAATGAGATATGAGCTCAGTCTGGGATATATTTAACTTCTCTGAGCCTCTGTTCTTTAACCTGCAAAATGTGGTAGAAATCTACCTGACTCTAAGTTGAGCACAGTAGCTCACGCCTGTAATCCCGCACTTTGAGAGGCAGAGGCAAGAGAATAGCCTGAGCTCAGGGGTTCAAGACCAACCTGAGCAATATGTCAAGATCTCACCTCTATAATAAACCAAAAATTAGCCGGGCATGGTGGTGCATGCCTATGGGTCCAGATACTTGGAAGGCTGAGGCAGAAGGATCACCTGAGTCCAGCAGGTTGAGGCTGTGGTGGCCTGGAGAGTGACACTGCACTCCAGCCTGGGCGACAGAATACGACTCAAATTTTAAAATAAAAAAAATAAAAATCTACCTGACTCTAACAATGCAATGACTAAAGACAAGATATCAGAAAGCATCTAGCACAATATGGCTTAGTTCCTACGGTCGCACTCTCTTTGAAACACCACTACATGAGTTTCAGATCTTCCTTCTAACCAAAAGCCAATGAGATGGTTTCTGGGGGAGACGTCAAGTTTGGTGCCTCCGAACAGAGAGGGAGAGCAGTGAGACATGAACATAAGCTACATACCTCAGTACCTCTGTGATGTAATTCATCTTGAGCGTGAGACCCTGGCTCCATTTCTTCTGAGCCATGCTGATTAGATTCGCATTTGCCCTTCTTGCAGTTGCCACCACAGGATTTTTTTTTCTCTCCTTTCTGCAGTGCCTGCAACTGGGAGATGAACTTGGTCTTCCAAGTTCTGAAGTCGGCTTCGATGCTACCATGCTTGCTTTTAACCACGTCGCTGTCACCCTCCCCACGAGTCAGCACACGATGAGCACCAAGCATCCAGAGCCACTTATCAACATTTTTGCCAACCTGCAAGAGACAGAGATAGATGAGCTAGACACACAACCCTTCAAATCAGAGGTTTTCTTCTGGGGCCCCGGTCATGGGCTGCTGCTGAGGAAGAGAGAACTGCTCAGCAAAAAGGATTCAGGCCTTCAAGCTCCAGCCTTGACCCAGAAGGGCAGCATTTTACATATTCTAATTTCCTGCACAAGACTTTTTTAAACAAAGAGACACACAAAAGGTTAATAATGGAAAAAGAATTTGAAAACTACCACTCTAAATTATGGTCAGTGTGAATATGCATTAAAAAACTAATTAGTTCCAAAAACATAACAAAGCCTATGGGGCTGAATCCCATTAAGTAATAAAGTGCAGATGTAATCAATTTGGCAAGACTCATGATTTCATAAACCTCAAAATTTATTTCATTGTGATAAAGCGATGAAGCTGAGGCACAGGGGTAATCAAGAAGCACAGTTAAAAATGTAACAGGCTTCCTGAGTGGCAAGGCATTAAACAAAATATTTACGTATCTGCATTTTCCCATCCTTAACCTAATTCCTTTGACAATATGAGGGGAAATCTACATCGGGACATAACAAACTGAATGAAAACAAGCTTAAAGGAAGCTCTCCACCTCCACCATCTCTCACACTCAGCTGAAGACAGGCAAGCCAGGCAAAGTCCATCTCTAGAGAGGGTTACACATGCAAACCCCTTAGAAACTAAGAGGTTCCCATTTTGTTTTTTTAAGTGCAGAGAACAGGATGCAAAAGAAAAGGAGTCAACTTAATTTCATTTAGAAAAAAGGGCCAGGAAAACAAATCAAAAACTTTGATGTGTTATTATGTAGGGGTACTCAAAAAAACAGAATTTATGTATAAAAGATTGTGTATTCTCACATGTTTAAAACTTCAGTCACCTTCAAAGTACTCTCCGTTTGATGCACTACACCCATGGAAACACTCTGACCACTGCTCAAAACAGTTCTTGAGCTTGTCAATTTGGATGGCTTTTAATGCTTCTGCCATTTTTTGTTTCATCTCTTCCACACTGGCAAAACATTTCCCTTTGAGGACTTTTTTCATCAGGGAAACAAACAAACAAAAAAGTCGCTTGGGGCAAGATCAGGTGAATAGGGTGGGTAGGGCATGAGGGTCAGGCTGTTTTGGGTCAAAAACTGTTGAACACTCAGCCCGGTGTGGGCAGGTGCACTCGTAAATCATTCATCATGAAATGGACAAATGCACTGAAAGAATCTCCAAAGAAAATTCACCGAAGCCGAACACAGCCTCTCACAACAATGCTAGCTAGTATACCAATGCCAATGGAGTTCTAGGATACTTACCTAGCAGAGAAAGCCTGTACTAGAAGCCTGCCCTCCAAAAAATAATTCCAAATATTTGGGGGTCTCCCTCATACATAAAAGGCAGTGAATGTTTTTCCTCTGTTTTCCTTTAAAAATTAATGATTTAAGGAAAATGAGGTCACTTGTATTAAGAGCTCAAGCAATAAAGGTTATTCAACAACGGATCAGGCAGTTGAGAAAGTCCAAAGACTCAGAGATCATCGATCTACAAGGCCCTGCCTGGGGACCAGGAGCCCAGACCACTAAGACACTAGACAATATGAGACACACTTGTTCATTTTAGTCAGCAAAAATTTACTGAGAACCTACTTTATACCAACTTTGAATATATAGCAATTTATAGCCATAAGGAATAACACAAGAAATGTATTGCTAAGCATCAAATTATTTCACAGAGATGCATATGTTGTGTATGTGTATTTAATTGAAGGAGAATTTATCCCTATAATTTAACATAAGCCTACCTTGTTGAAGTGGCTCTCATAGGCAGAATTTCCCAAGCCAAATACAGCATATCTCATACCCCTCAGGTAAGTCTTGCCAAATCGAAAATCACTGGATGCTTCCTCTAGCCACTTGCAGAACCACTCAGCACTTTCAGTTGGACGGCCATCAGTATATGTCGCAACCAGGAAGGCACAGACATTTTTACTGGTAACCTAACCAAAACCAAGAAAGTAATTATTTTAGAAGAATATTGAAGATATAAACTGGAAAAACCAGTGCCTTATTCTGGCCAGCATACCTCCTGACAGCCTTTGTCATATACTCCATTCCATTTTTCAGACTGCAAATTCTTATCATCTCTGATTTGACATATTGAAAAAAAAATCCAAATCATTCAAGAAAAAATACAGAGAAAAAAATTACCTAAAAAATTAAAGCAACAAACTTTTTAAATATAAAGTAACTCAACACTTAGCACTATCATCTACATAGGGAAACAAAATGCAGACTGAGACCCCCTTATCCAAAATACTTAAGACCAGAAGTGTTCTAGATTTCAGATTTTTTGCAGGTTTTGGAATATTTGCATACACGTAATAAGATACCATGGGAATGGGACTCAAGTCGAAACACAAGATTCATTTATGTTACATATACACCCTATACACAAAGCCTAACAGCAATTTTATACAATATTTTTAATAATTTTGTGCACAAGCCGGGCTTGGTGGCTCAGCCTGTAATCCTGTGCCTTGGGAGGCTGAAGTGAGTGGATTGCCTGAGCCCGTGGGTTCAAGACCCGCCTGGGCAACTTGGTGAGACCTCATCTCTATAATAAATCAAAAAATTAGCCAGGCCAGTAATTCCAGCTACTGGAAAGGCTGAGCCGGAAGGATTGCCGGAGCCCTGCAGGTCGAGGCTGCGGTGGCCAGGAGCGGCCACTGCACTCCAGTCTGAGCAACAGAGTGAGACTCTAACTCAAAAAAAAATAAAAAAATAAAAAAATTTTTTGTGCACAAAACAAAGTTTTAACTGCATTTTTGACGGTGACCCATCGCATGAGGTGAGGCGTGGAATTTTCTACTTATGGTATCATGTCTGCATTCAAAAAGTTTTGGATTTTGGAGCATTTAGAATTTCACATTTTTGGATTAGGGATTCTCAACTTGTATATCCTGTCCTGCTAGCCTATCTGCTTGAATATATCCTAACAGTTCCAGAAGTGGGGGCACACTTCATCAACAAGGGTACCTGCATAATGAACATCTGTATACCTAACCCAGAATTGTACCCCACATCTTCAAAACTAATAATTTTTTTAAAAGAGTAAAAAAAAAAGTTCTAAGTCACAAGGTAAGTTATGAGTAATCTCTTATAATGATAAAAGTTTGCTAATAATTTTCACAAATAATTTAGCGCAGATTTAAGCTCAGTAATTTGCACTCCAATGCTTTCCTGGGGGAGAAAAAAAATGGACAGAGTTACAGTTAAAACATGTATCCACTAAGAAGGGACTGGAAAACTACATCCCACAAGCCAAATCTGGCTTACTGCCTGTTTTTTTTTGTTTTGTTTTTTCTTTTGAATCAGAATCTCACTCTGTCGCACAGACTGGAGTGCAGTGGCACACTCACAGTCACCACACCCTCAACCTGCTAGGCTCAGGCAATTCTTCTGCTTCAGTCTTCCAAGTAGCTGGAACTACAGGCTTGCACCACCATGTCCAGCTAATTTTTTGATTTACTGTAGAGATGAGGTCTTGCCATGTTGCCCAGGCTGGTCTTGAACCTGAACCCATAGGTTCAGACAATCCTCTCACCTCTGCCTCCCAAAGTACTGGGATTACAGGTATGAGCCATCACATCCGGCTGCTGCCTGTTTTTTTAGATAGTTTCATTGGTACACAGCCACACTCATTTACTTACGTGTTGCCTATGGCTGTTTTGTGCCCTCAGTGGCAGAACTGAGTAGCCGCTTGACCAACAAAGCTAGGGATATTTACTCCCTGGCCCTTCACCTAAAAGTATGACCCCTGCTCTAACTGCTTCTCCAACTTTAGCTGCAGTAGAATCACCCAGAGCGCTGTTAAAACAAAGCTAGGCTAGGCCAAGACCTGAGAATGTGCCTCTCCCACAAATTCACAGGAGATGCTGGCTTAGGGACCACATTAGGAGAACCACTGCTGTAAGGCAAAATTCCCTAGCCAAGACGTGACTGGTGGAGGGGGAGGGGCATATGTCAGGTGAAGAAATTAAACCCTCAGGGATGTTAAATCATGCCTTGAGGACACACCACTAATAAAAGATTTCTCTAACTCCAAAACCCATATTCTTTCTGCTCCTGACCTTTTGGTAGGATTACCCATGATCCACGTGCACAGCACACTGCCGTCAATCACAAACCCTCCCTTAATTATGAGATTAATAGGAGGGGAAAGAGGGAAATTCAAACCACCCAAGTTTTTCCACCCCCTACCCCCGCCCAAGTAGAATCTAACACGCCACAGGTGCAGGTCCCACACGCCATCACACATGGCATGACACATTTACCATGTCTGATTCATGCTGAAAACTCAACCAACTGAAATCTCTTAGCCTGAAAATTAAATTTATTCTGAAGATTCTACTTAACCCAGAAGACAGGAGGTCAATTAAACTTGAGAGTTTTGATGAAAGAAAAAAATGAAATAATTACCAACCTCTTCTACCAGATGATCATCTGGATCATATTCTTTCAGATTAATAATTGCCACAGGCAGGTCTAGGGAGGTAACTGCATCGGCAAGAATTGCTGCAAATTTCTAGTAGGAAAAAAAAATCAAAGTCTTCAACAAGCAAAATATAGACCTCATTTATCCCTGTCAGCAAGTGAATGTGGCATTCCTCAAGAAAAACTTTTTCAGTGACTGGTGTTTATCATCTTGAACACAAATACTATTTTCATTTTCTCAAGCAACGTTATAGAGATCAATCATTCAATCATGTTGTTTTCACTCTGTAAGAGTGTTCATAGGACCAAACCCAAATTTGCTTTTTAACGTTCCAGATGTTTCATTCCACGAGAATAAACATATAAAAGTACCAAAAAGAAAACCAGTGAAGAGTTAAGGAGAATGGGGAATATAAATAGAAGCAGTTTGACAGATAGGAGAAAGCTCTAGGGAAGAGTTCACACAGAACCTGAGAGGCGCAGCAATCAGAATCGGCCACTATAACAAAAGATAGAAAGGAAACATGGATCAGAAAAGAGCTAATTAGTCAACAATTTGTGTATAGAATGCACACAGGTCAGAGAGCCTAGGCAACACTTTACATTTATCTCCAAGCAAAACACCTGCCAGTTCTTCTCCAAACAAGTGAGCCAAATGTTTGGGGAAGACTAAAACTTCTAGCCAGATGTTGACACCACAAAAAAGGCCCTCTTCTTTTTTGCTTGGTATTCTTAACACTTGACTGCCTACCTGCAAAAGCTATTAGCTAAAGCTAATTTATTTATTGGGCATCTCCCACGCTAGTCTCAGTTCTGGGCAATGCAATAGTCCCTCCTTATACAAAGTTTCGCTTTCCAAGATTGCAGTTACCTACAGTCGACCACAGCCCAAACATTACATGAAAAATTCCACCTGGGCGCAGTGGCTCACGCCTGTAATCCCAACACTTTGGGAGGACTAGGCAAGAGGATTGCATGAGCCCAGGTGTTAAAGACCAGCCTAGGCAACTTGGTGAGTCCTCGTCTCTACAATAAATAAAAAAATTAGCTGGTCGTGGTGGCGCACACCTTAAGTTCCAGCTACTTGGAAGCTGAAGCGGAAGGATCATCTGAGCCCAGCAGATGGAGGCTGCAGTAGCTGTGAGTGTGTGACTGCATTTCAGCAACAGAGTGAGACTCAGACTCAAAAAAAAAACAGGCCAGGCTCAGTGGCTCAGCCTGTAATCCCAGCACTTTGAGAGGCCAAGACGAGCAGATCGCCTGAGCCCACAGGTTCGAGACCAGACTGGGCAACTTGGCGAGACCTCATCTCTACAATAATCAAAAATTAGCCGGGCATGGTAGTGCACACCTGTAGTTCCGGCTACTTGGAAGGCTGAGGTGGAAGGATCACCAGAGTCCAGCAGGTCGACGCTGGGGTAGCCGTGAGTGTGCCACTGCACTCCAGCCTAGGCGACAGAATGAAACACCAACTCAAAGAAAAGAAAAGGAAAAATTTCATAAATAAACAATTCACAAGTTTTAAACTGCATGTCATTCTAAGAAGCATGATAAAATCTCTCATCACCCACTTCATCCCACCCACGATATGAATCCGCCTTTGTGTAGCATCTCCACACTGTAGACAACTACCAGGTTCTTAGTTCCTTCGTAGCCATCTTGGTCATCAGATCAAAAAAAACATAGCATATATAAAGTTTGGTACTATCTGAGGTTTCAGTCTTCCACTGGAGGAACATATTGCCCCATAGATAAGGGGGAATACTGTATTATTCAGTGAACAAGACAGATACAGTCCCTGCTCTCAAGAAGCTTATATTCAATGGCTAGAGAATAAACACAGAAATGAGAAAATAGTGTATATCATATAGTGACTAGTGTTACCGAGGAAAACAAATCAGGAGAAGAAGAAAGAATAAAGAATTAGAGGTAGAAAGATAATTGTTATTTTACATAGGGAGGGTCAGGACAGGCCTATACACTAAAAATAAATATTTGGTCTTTGTCCTTTGTACAACTCCTAAAACCCTGGAATGTACTGTCTTTTGCATGCTAATGAGACGACTTCTGGTATCTTCAAGATGGAAGCTGTTAGCAGAAAAAACAAACCACTTAGAAATTAAACTCAGCACCCCCCCAGCCACAACGACTGGAGACAGAAGAGTTTAATCAACAACTGCCAATGATTTCATCATCGTTCCTACGTAATGAAGGCCCCCAAAAAGCCCCTAAACAACAGGGACTTCCGGGTTGGTGAACATGTGTTAGGGAGAAGACAAGTCCAGAGAAGGTATGGAAGTTGTGCGCAATCCCTGCCCTTCCAGACCTTGCCCTATGCATCTCTTCCATTTGGCTGTTCCAGAGTTGTATCCTTGATAATAAACCAATAAACGTAAGTCAAGTGATTCCCTGAGTTCTGAGTCATTCTATCAAACCTGAGAAGGAGGAAACCCCAGATTTATAGCTGGGACTTGCAACTGGTGTCTGAAGTGGGGACAGTCTTGTGGACTGTGAAAGGCGCAGGGAACAGTCAGAAGGGTATCTCCCGAGATGGCGCTAAACACTACATAGAACCAAACAAAGATCACAAAGGCCCTAAACTCCAGCTTTTCCTGCGCGCGAAACTTAAACCTGTGCTCAAACAACCTCTTGCTATAGGAATACTACCTCATAGTCTCCTCCAATAAAACCCAAACACAGCACTGACCAGCCCCTGCAAGGTCCATAAATACACCCCCTCCCCCTGCATAACTCTCTCTTGCTTTCTCTCTCTGTCCCCACCACTCTCTTGCTGGCTCTCTCACTCTCTCTCTCCTTCCCTCTTTTTCTCTCTTTCTCTCTCTCTCTCTCTCTCTCTCTCTCTCTCTCTCTCTCTCTCTCTCTCTCTCACTCGC